AAGTCTGAGAGGCAGCTGAGGAAGGAAATACACATACAAAACGAAAAACATCTTGTTCTTTTGCTGCTGATGTTCCCGTTGAAGCTCTTCAATAAATGTAGGCAAGATGCACTGGCATTTGAAATATGTATTCCTAGTTTAGTATCCAACCTTGGAGAAAATTCAACATGGTTTAAAAGTTCTCTTTTCTAAATAAACCAGAGGGGTTTAATTCTGCACTTCTGGATCCCAGGAAAGTTTGGTTGATGGTACTATGTGGCCTATAGATAAAACAAATGATTTCATATTGATATTTGACTTCCTCCCTTAACTCCACAAAATCATTCTCAATTCCTGGTGGGAAAATGAGTGATGTTTGAGCTCTCTTTTTCTCCTGCAAGTAGCATAATCCCTTTTTTTTGTTTAGTCACTGATTAACAAATGATTAAAAATAAATGCATTAAACATTTGGGTGTCATGCTTCCAAAAAATAATCTTCACTTATCTTTTATGCTGAGCAAATCCATTTGCAGATGATAATCTCTCTCTCTCTCTCTTTCTCTCTCCCTCCCACACACACACACATTATGAAAATGTGAAGAATGCAAGATTAATTATTCTTTTATTTTCTAAGATATTAGACTCTCAATACCTCAAATAAATATCTTTTTGGATACTTGTTTGTAGACTTATCCTCTTTTAAAAAATTATAAATTTTTTAGTTGTACTTGGACACAATATTTATTTATTTTGGTGTGGTACTGAGGATCGAACTCATGGTCTTACATGTGCTATGCGAGCATTCTACCACTGAGCCACAACCCCAGCCCCAACTTATCCTCTTTTTAGTTATTATTTTTAAATTCTCTTTTCTCTAGGAAGGGAAAAATTCTGGGGGAAATTAATATTTATAAGAAAACTTATAACTGACCACTTTATGAGGAAACAAATGAAAGCAAAAGAGTTGCTTTTAAAGTCAACAATTTATAGAGGGATCTATTACAAATTAGTTGCTTTTACTTTTTGGTGAGAGAGACAGAAAACAGTTTGATAAATGAATTATATTTGGAGTTGTCTTTGTTTTTTAAAGTTTGTCAATGGCTGTCCCCAATGTGCAGAATTTTCTGTTTTCTTGGGCCTCAGTATTCTTCTATTTTCTTTGGTTTTGATTTTCTTTCTTACATGAATTTCTTGTGAAAAATACACAAATGATTTGCTTTCAGTCTTTTCTTTTAGTCTGTGTCCTTTTAGGTCTATACCTTTTTCTTTGAACCTGACTTTAACTGCATGCCACAGGTTTTGGTATGGTATTTTTATTTTCATTTAGTTAAAAAATTTCCTATGCCTATTATGATTTCTTTCATGGTTATTCAACATCAGAGTTATTTAGAAGTCAGGTTATTTACTGGTCAAATAACATATTTGATTTTAGTTTTCTGTAAGCAATTGATAATTGCTTTGCCGTCCAACATATGGTTGATTTCAGCAGTTATTCCACATGTCTTTGAAAAAGAGGATGTACTTGGCAATTTTGAGGTGTATTTTTTATAAGTCAAGGTCAAGTTTGTAAATTATGTTATTTAACTCTTCTTATTTCTTATTAGTATAATTATTTACTTTTTTGTTAATCTTGTTCTATCAATTATTGATAAGCTATATTAAAATCAGCTTCCACTGTGATTGTGGACTGTTTCTCTCTATAGTTCTGCCAATTTCTGCTTATCTGGTTTGAAGCTATGCTCTTATAAATATTAGATTTAGAATCATTATATTATTTTGGTGTAGTAATTCTTTCTATCACTATGAAGAACCCATTTTTATATATGATAAGGCTTCATACTGTGTTATATTTATATAAATTTTCTCTTAGCTAGTTTGCATATCATATATTTTATCCTCTCAATTTCAACCTTCCTATATTATATGTAAAATATGTCTCTTGTAAGCACCATATTGTTGGATTTTTAAAAATATATTTGGTGGGCTTTAAGTCATTGCTATTATTATCCTACTAAAGCCTAAAGTAACTCTTCAAGTGGATTTGTAAGCCCTTTTGATATGACCCTTTTCTTAGCAGTTTCCTTGTTGGTCTGCTATGACAAAATGTTCCAGTCTTGATTTATGCAATTAGAAAACACTTGCATATACTAGTAGAACCATCTCATAATTAATTTGCCTTGTACCCATCATATAACAATGGTTTCAGAATAAGATTACCATAATATAATAAAAATTCAACTTTGGCATATAAAAAAAAGTTGCCAATCTGGTGATCTCTGTATCTTATAGAATATTTTGTCCTTTTACATTTAATTCAGTGATTATTTGGGGTTAAATCTAATATTTATTTCAGCAGTTCTTTATGTCTTTAATTTGTTGCCATTTATCTACATATTTTCTTTTTCTATTGCTTTTCATTTCTTTCTGCACAGAACCTGCTACCATTTGGGATCATTTTTTCTCTAATTCATTTAATAATTCCTTTAATACAAGCTTAATGGCAACCAATTCTCTCAACTTTTGTTAAGTATTATTCTTTTCAGTTTTTTTAAAAAATATTTATTTTTTAATTCTCGGCGGACACAACATCTTTCTTTGTATGTGGTGCTGAGGATCGAACCCGGGCCGCAGGCATGCCAGGCGAGCGCGCTACCGCTTGAGCCACATCCCCAGCCCCTCTTTTCAGTTTTAAAGAACATTTTTGATGTGTTGTTAGGTATTTGCTGTTGTTATTTTGCTGTTTGCAGATATCTTTCTGTTGTTTTGTGAGTTCCATCATTTTTGTTGAATAGCCTTCTGATTTGCTGTTATTGTCTTCAAAAGTATTGTATAATAATTTTCTCTTGCTTTTTAATGATTTTCTTTTTGTCTTTACATTTTAGCAATTTTACTGTGATGTCTAATGAGATTTTCTTTGTATTCATCTAGTTGGGATTTGCCATCCTTCTAACATCTGAAACTTGATATCTCATAAGAGAATTGAAAAATTCCTTTCAAATACTGCTTTTCTCATTCCTTCTTTTTTCCTTTCTTGGAATTCAACCATAGATATGCTTAACCTTTTATATAACATATAGTTCTTAATATCTTTTCCCCTCCATGCTTCAGGCTGGGTATATTCTTTTGAACTCTTTCAGGAAACTAATTCTCTTTTGAGTTGTCTGATCTGTTGTTAAACTCCTGTTTTTAGATCTTTATTTCAATTACTGACATTTTAAGTTTGGGAGTTTTAAAAAATATATATATTTGTAGATGGACATAATAACTATTTATTATGTGGGGTGCTGAGGATCGAACCCAGTGCCTCACAAGTGCCAGGCAAGTACTCTACCCTGGGTGACAACCCTAGCCCAAGTTTGGGAGTTTCTAACTGATCATTTTTTAGAGTTTCAAGTTCTAGTCTATTATCTCTCTTATCACTTAAATTTTTGAACTCATTAAGTAATGGTTATTTAAAAATCTATGTCTATTAACTCCAATATCTGTATTTCCTATGGATTACTTTCTGTTTTCTTCTCTCTTTTTAAAAAATTTTATTTCCCATAAATTCTTGGCTTTTTTTTTCTCTATGTGCCCAGTTATTTTTTACTGATTCAAATCTGGGCTTTCATCTTTGTGAGGGTTTTTATCTATTTCTAGTTACCCCATAATCTAAGAAGTTTTACACAAACCTTATTTAAGCATTACATCATTTTCATCACATATTATGAAATATGTGATAAAAAACCCCATACTTCTTATTAGGGATCCTAATACTTCTTATTATCTTATTAAAATTATGTTTTTCATACATAAGTAATGGATATAATGATCTCTACTTCATGGGTTAAATGAGGGTTGTACAAATAATGCATATGAGATATCTAATATACTGACTAGAAGATATCAAGCATTTATAAATTGATAATTTTGTGTGTATTGTTATGGATTGGATGAGTATCCTCTAAATGTTTATGTATTGAGGGCTTGATTCCCAGGATGGCACTATTGGGAGGTGAGGTAGAGACTAGTGGAAGGTCCTAGGTCATTAGAGGCTTGTTCTCAAAGGGGACTGTGGGACCCAGGCCATTCATGGCTCTTGAGGTAAGCAATTTGCTCTGACCTTATTTCCAACATCATATGCAACTTCACCAGTGTCCAAAGTAATACCCTCTCCCTCTCCTCTCACTGATCTTGGAGGATTGGAACTTACAAAACTATAAACCAAACTAAACCCTTTCTCTTTATAAATTGCTTCAGGTATTTTGTTATAGTAACAGAAAGGTAACTAATACACTCACTTTAAAAAGTTAGTATTTCATAATATGTGATGAAAATAATGTAATGCTTAAAGTAATAAGGTGATTGTTTATGTAAAACTTCTTATATTATAAAGTACTAGAGAAATTTTAAAAATGGTTTTGAAGTATATTGATTTTGAAGTATATTAATGTGCTAGGCACTGTTGTAAATGCTTACCTGCATTATATCATTCTATATTTACAATAATCAAATGCAGATGGAACATTTAATATCCTTATTGTACAAATAAGGCTGAGAAAGAATCCATGGCTTGACCATGCTTAGTGGGCAGGCAGAGAAGCCAGCATTCAAATCCAATTCTTACCAACTCCAGAGATACAGTTATCAACTCCCCTCCCATCTAATCTCACTAAACAACCCTTCTCTTTCCCAATAAAGGAAAAAAGATGTCCATTTTGCAGACTCTTACACAGGGTCTGGAACCAAGTGTGGACTCAGTATGTATTTATTGACTTATTGACATACACAACATACCAGTAAAATCTGCTGACATAGTAGGAAGAGAATGAATGAAAGTCCAGAATCCAACTATGTAAGTGAAAAGTAATTAGGATGGATTAATACAAACTGAGAGAGAGAGAGAACAAGTTATGAATTTAATCATAAACAGAGGTTTGACTATGATCTAGAAAGCAGCTCTCAGGGCCATCTGGAGCCCCAAAATTATCTCCAAAGGTGTCAGTTGCCCAGGTCTATGTTGCACTTTTGCTTGTACTTACATGTGAGTCATTTTGCTCAAATTGTAGAAGGAATGTGATTCCAGCCGCTGCAGAGTTCCATCTATAGATAAGTAGCTGAACATCACAAAAATATAAGACAAAGTAGGAAGTTAGCTGGGCTGTGAACTCTAAACGTACCGTTTTTGACATAACTTCTTTGTTAGGGGCTTCCCACATCATGCAACATACACAACCCACATGTGTTCTACCAAATTATGCTAAAATTAATAACTCCTTACTTCCAGGTCCCATGATACCTAAGCTTTCCCAGAACATTAAGTCCAATTCATCTCACATCTCATCCAACTATTACTTCCTTTGGAAGCTTACTCCCGCCTTCCTGACCAGGTTAAATTCCCCATGCATGGCCTCATCGTACCATAAAATATCTCCCTTCACTAATTATCACAGTTTAACTTTCTTATTGTTTGGTTGATATTTGATTTATGTTATCTTATTAGACTATATTCTCTGAAATGAAGAATTGTGTCTGGTTTTGATCATTGAATCTTAAATGCATCTCTTAGTTCTTGACATGTAGTAGATTCTCAATAAGTATGTTAAGTCAATGAATGAATGAGTTACTCTAAGTAGAAAAAAAAAGAGAATAAGAATCTTTGTGTGTGTGTGTGTGTGTGTGTGTGCATGCCAGGGATTGAACTCAGGAGCCCTTAACCACTGAGCCATATCCCCAGCCCTTTTTTGTATTTTATTTAGAGACAGGGTCTCATAGAGTTGCTTAGCACCTCACTTTTGCTGAGGCTGGCTTTGAACTCACAATCCTCCTGCCTCAGCCTTCTGAGCCACTGGAATCACAGGTGTGCACCACCGCCCTCGGCAGAATAAGAATCATTTTTATTAAAGCACTTAATAGCATGAGATTAGAAGTATAGTATCCAAGAGGATGAAAAGAAAAACATAATGCTTAGTGGAACATTCCATAGGGTGTTGACTATACATTCTCTCAAGACCTCTATTCCTGATTTTGAATGAGGTAGAAAATTCAAGATTTGTCTTGAACTTTATAAGCAGAAGATGACTCAAATAAAAGTTTTAAGTACTGAAAGAAAAGAAAAGAGAAACTCCTAAATAGGACTTGACAGGAATATGTAAGGAATTATGTTTCAAATAGTGTTCTCAAATTCCATCTTATAATGAGAATGACCAATACAGACAAATTCAATGACCATTTTCTATGGAGAGGCTTTTCTCTGACATTTGAGAAAATTAATGATTAACAGATGGTGTCCAGTCGTAACCATGGCAGAGATTCTCAACCCATACACACACTTGAACTACCTGCAGGGCTTTTAAAACACACAGATGTTCAAGACCTGGCCCAGGATAATTAAATCAGTTTATGAGGAATGGATCAAGCACTTTTATTTTTCAAAAGCATCTGGATGGTTATAATGTGCAGGCAAAGTTGAGAATCACTGGCCTATAATTGGAGTTGAATCTTTCAGTAAAATATTTTCACTGACACAATGTTATAAGAGGAATGCTCACATTGTGGCATGCTGAGCTTTTTATCCTGGTTATTGTGAGGATTCTAATGGCCCTGTGCTTTTTGTTTTGAATGACCTATTCTCCAAACAATTATTCTTTGGTTGATCAGGTCTCCCAACCCTTTGTCCTTTGTGGATAGCAGCATTATATAAATTATTTTGATCCAAATATTGTTTATTAAACAGAGGAAACAATGGAATCTTTTAAGCATATTGATTTATTGTTTAGGGACTGCAGGGATTTATCATGCATGAATGTGAGCCATCTAAAAGAGCAAGATTCAACTTGAAGACTGACAAGTTGCTTCCCTAAGTTTTCATCCAATGCATTACACCATATCTTCTACTGAATTTCTTAGTTAAGAAGTGCAAAACCTTTCTCAATATTTTAGAGGGTTAATCCTTCAGTTCATATCATCCAACTGAAGTTTTAGTTTCTCCAACCTACACCTCCTTAAAGGCAGTTATAACTTGGTTGTGAAGAAAACACACAGGAGGTACTTTTCAGTGGGGCAAAAGTAATGATTCCCTGCTCCTATTATTATTATTCCATTTTTCTAACTAGAACAAAATCAGATCCACCTCTTCTTCAAATTTCTTAGCATATAAATCTTACACGATGACTATAATAACTATGTTATTGATTGTCCAAATTAGAAAAAAAATTTGCACCATTAATATTTATGCCAGAATAATGGGTGGGTAACCTCCCTCTCTGCCCTGAGCTATACCGTATCTTTATCATTGATGCATGTGTATTTCCTATCATTCAACAAAAATCTATGGAACATATGCTATATTTAGACATTGACAAACAAACTTATTCTGTAGCCTCAAGGAAATCATAGTAGTTACAAATGAAAGCAAGTAAATGGGATTAACATGCAAGGTGCTTGGTGCTCCGAAGTGGTATAGGGAACACAATCCAGTGGCCACTCTATTCAAGGCCCCGCTGGAAGAAGCCTCAGTGAGGCCTTTGAATCTTCCTGGATGTTCTCTTCATCTCAGTCTTCCTTTTATTGCCCATTTTTTTTTGCTTCAAACTATATCTTCAAATTTATAACTCTGCCGGCTCCATCTTAGGTGAACTTTTAATAATTTTTAGAAAAGATGGAAACCCCATCCGACACTATAACTCTAGTGTTAACAGTGCAGAAGGAAATCATCTTCCTGTAGAAAGTCAGTCCTTCTCTTTGGATCCCATTCCCTCCTCAAGGACCATATGCTCTTAAAATTGTTCTCCTTCATCTTCTCCCTCTGTTATACCTTTCACTGGTCTCAGTTACCTCTGCCTGTTCATGACTTTCAAGTCTCAATCTGTGCTCACATCTCTGCTCTGAAGGCTCCCTATGTCTACAACTTCTGAAGCTCCCTAATCTACTTTTTATTCCCCCCACATACATTATTATTTTCTAACTAAGTACATAATTTACTTGTGTTTTTGGTTTCATTGTCTGGGTCCTCCTAGTTGAACATCAGCTTCATGGGAGCATAGATCTTTCTTCACTTGTTCTCTGCTGTCTCCCTAGTTCTTAGAATAGCGATTGGCACAAAGGGGTGGTCAAACAAGTACTTGTTGAATGACTAAAACTTTTGTAGATGATGTCTATGTCATGAAGTCATCAGAATATCTTTGCACTGACAAAAAGAAGGGAGATGAGAGAGGACCACCAAGGAAATCAAAACAGGCAAGGATTTGAACAAGGAAAGGCTGTTTAACAACATGAAAGCTTGCAGAGATGCTCAGTGAGAATGGTCTCTCAACCTCAGCACTGTTGACTTTTGACCCAGGTAGATTTTACTGTGCATGCTGTCCTGTGCAAGGCACAATGCTTAACAGTGTCCTTCCCCTCGACCCATTAGCTGCCATAGCTGCACTTTTTCAGTTTTGACAAGCAAAATGTCGAATGTCAAAATTGCCTCTGGGTGAAAACCACTGCCATGACACAATAATTAATAAACGTTCATACAATGAATAGATTTAGCCAGAAACTGTAACTGTGCAGGTTGCTCCTGGTGGTGTTATTTGGTGTGCCTGAATTACCTAGATTGCCTGTCAGAACCAATGAAGTGAAATGAAGACCTGACTCGTTTCATACACAGGTATGCTATCTATCAACCCAATCCAGAACTGTGTGTGTGTGTGTGTGTGTGTGTGTGTGTGTGTGTGATATGCTGGGGATTGAATCCAGGGCCTTGTACATGCAAGGCAAGCACTCTACCAACTGAGCTATATCCCTAGCCCCTAGAACTTCTTTTTGTCCTCACTCTGAGTGTACAGCAATTCAGTTTTCAATGTTTAAAAGAATTTTTTAATTCTATTCTTTTTGTTTTAAGTGAGAGAAGTCTGAAAACAATGGCCAAATTCTTGACCATATACAAACGTTTGTATTAGTGGTGAAAAGTGAATCAATTGGCTAGATGAGATTAGAGATAGATGCATAAATATGTTTATGGGAGAGATTCCCAGCCAAAGTTTGGGTACATCACAAAATATGTTAAAACATATCAAGAATGATCAACTTCTTGTTGGGGACAGTAGCACATACGTGTAGTATCACTGACTCAGGAGATTGAGGCAGGAAAATCACTTGTTCAAGGTCAGTCTCAGAAATTTAGCAAAACCCTGTCTCAAATAATAAAAAGAGCTTGGGATGTGACTCAGTGGTATAGTATCCTGGGTTCAATCCCCATGACCACAAAACAAACAAACAAAAACAAATAAGAAAATTCTCAAGATCAAATCAATTTAAATTTGCTTTAGGTTTAAAAATTTATCTAGGAATTAAGATGTAGGGATGTAGCAAAATCAAACCGACATCGTGTTTTCAGATATATTAAAAATAAAGATACCATTGAGTCATGCAAGTGTAACAAGTATTTTCCTTGACAGAACATATTTAGACAATCACATGTCACAATTTCCAACTTTTCTTTATATTAAAAAATGACTTACATCCTGGAAATATTGGGCAGATTTGAAAATGCAAGACTGGGAATGGTTTTCAGACGAGTCTCTGTGAGCTTCCTATGAAAACAACAGTTATGAATTAGAATTGTTACTATTGGTCCTCTATAATAATGCTCTTAATTGTAAAAAACAAAACAAAACAAAACCAAAAAACCCTCATGATTAGAAGTACAACAGTTCTTACAACACATATTTCATCTTACATAATCAACAAAATAGTATTCAATTAAAAACATACATTTTTTTTCCCCAGTAGTACAAGAGTTGAGAGAGATTCGGATACAGAAAATAAATGTTCAAATTTCATCAATGGATCAATAATAAACTATTATCCTCTGATACCACATTCTACTGGTTAATTGAAGGCCAGCATAATATATTCATCAGTATATTGGAACTACTGAGTTTCATATCATGTATTTGTCTATAGAAATGACTTGGCATGCCATCAGTATACATATTATGTACATATTTAAAGGAATTAAACGTGTTTATTTTATCTTAAAGTTTAAAAATAGTGATATGGTTATGATGGTTTTGCCCAAGCAAAGGTGTCTAGCCATTACCTTGATCTTACTGTCTACTTGCTACCATTGAGAAGTAACAAGGAGCTAATTCTTCCTCAGAGTCTTAAGACATTTTTGTTGGATATGCAACTTAAAGGTGTGGCTTTCCCTCCAGTTTGCTTTGTTAAAAATATCCTTCAGAAGGCTGAAGCTGTTTTCTTTATAAGAAACCATCTTCATGCAATCCAGGGTGCCTCTCCACCTAGATGTTCCATTTGTTAAATTTCCCCTTTCTCTAGAGTTGACTTGAATAGAATGCATATGGACAAAGGTGTGCCTCGTGTCCTAACTCACTTGGCAAAAAAGACAATGCCTCACACACTACACATTTTTCTCCATGGATCTCTCTTTGCCATTTAAATACTGGTATTCACACACCATTTATTTAGTACTTGTTGATAGCTAGGTATTATGTCTTTTTCCCTTCTGACTGCAGGATTATTTCTCAATAATTTATTTCCTTGATCTATGTTTTCTTTGGACTACTCACTTCTGCAGTGCCTAAAATGTATCTGTAACTTGCCTACAAAATATCAGGAGGCTGAATTAGTTTTTAAAAGGACTATTAATATATGTGCATGGGAGGGTGATATGAACAGTAGAAAGGCAAATTTTCAGCTCTTTGCGACGCCAAGTGTTTCACCATGAAACCCAATGTTGCCTTATCATGATTTCCGAAATGCATGTCCCTAAGTTACCTGTCCTCCCTCGAAGGTCTCTCACCTACATTCCCTTAATTGGTTTGATTAAGGGCTTATTGATACCGATACAGGATTCTTAAATTAAAAAGATATGGGAAGAACAAGTAATTCTACTAAAATCTCTGTGTAAAATTGGGGCATGCCAAAGGAAAACAAAGGATAAGGTATGCACCTGTTAGGTATCACCCCCAAAGACTGTGTTTCTTAAACTGAAAGATAGTCATTTAAAGCTGTCCTAAGGCAAAATGGTTTAAGATTGCGCACAGTGCTTGTGGGTAATGGGGGGCCTAAACTGTACCATTCACTGACTGAAAATTGAGGGGTATAGCCTGTGTTCACAAGTAAATAATATACATGGAATTAAATTGGAAATTAAAACAAAATTGCAGTGTTTTCCAAGAGGTCTGACATGGAACAAAAATAGTATATAAATGCAACTTAACAGACTTTGAGTTAAAGTTTCAAACAATGTTTATTTTCTTTCCCAACGTATGAGTTTCTGAAATATATGAATCCTGTTTCTTGAAGTCTCTTTCCTTTACACCCCAAACATACACACTTTAAGTTAGAACAAAATATTCTTTCCAGCCAGATTTCTCACCATAAAAAGCACATAAACCATGAAGAATTATGTATCTAAGAGCAGTTGTCTTAGTAATAATGTTATATACACAATAAATCTTCAAAAATAAAGGAAGAGATGTCAGCCATTTTAGCCTAAAATGAAAGTAAATTATCTGACTGTTGGATGAACTTAATATTGTGATCATTATAGCATTGCCTGGGATGGAAGACTGATTTCAATAATGTTAAATGAATTATTGCAATAACACAGAATCATATAAATTCAAACTCAATTACGATTTAAAAAATTTAAACATTTCGTCTTGGTGTATCCATAGTAACACTACATAATCTAGAAAAATATCCATAGTTAAGTTTTCAATTTTTTTTTTTTTTTACTTTTGGTATCAATTGTTTCCCCTCTTTTCATCACAGATTACCTTAAGCTTTCCTTTCCTTTCTTTCCTGGATTTTAAAATGATTTTTCTGATTTTCCTTATGAAAGCATTTAGAAAGCACTTTCTTCCAAGCCATCTATTGCTCTTCAAATAAAGAACAAGAATGATCGGTGAGGATTGGCATCTAGTGAATTAACTAATGAAGACAGCATCTTTAGGGAGCTTTTGTTCTATTTCTTTTTTCTCAATAGTTTTACTGCAAGATGAGAGATGAGGAGAATAAATTATTGTAAAAAGTGGATGCCTCTCTAGCCCCAGCTGACTCCGGATACATGAGCAATAACCCATCAGGAGGTTTTGTAGCTCTTCTGTTATGCAGCAGTCTTATAGCTAGAGCTAATTGAAGCATGTTTATCATCAATATGCTTTTCTTTGTCCCTTCTTGTAGGGAAAAGCAGCTGGATGTTCTTTCCATTGTCCACATTTTCTTTATTCAAAGAGTCTTAAGATGTTATGATTCCCCTTAGGTAGGAAGTCAGCCAAGAGCAGGTAGGGAGGGAAGGACATCAGATAGAGTGGTCATTGAGTCACAGGACTGGAGATAACAAAAACCTTTATCAAAGCATCCAACCATCAGGGACAATGGGAGCTGGTATGTCAAACCTCCCCAGTAGAATTAATTATAATCCCTTAAGGAAACAAGAACAAGGCACAGCTATTTTTTGTGCCCAGGTCGTCCCTCCCTACTCTCCTATTGTGAACAGGTCATTACCAAAAACCATGTCACAGTCACCCCTTGTGATTGAGTCATCTTGACCCTGGCAAAGAAAATTTGCTGAGGGCTATACAAAGGGCAATAAACCATTTAAAGAGATTAAAAAAGAAAACCCACTAAGGGAAGCACAAAGGCACTCAAAACCCAAACTCTTTAAGAGCTACATTTGTTCTGTCAGGAGACAGTCCTCTCCGTGCCTATACTGTTTGTTTATCTCACTTTTTGTATAAATCTCTGCTGGTCTCTACAACATTCACTGCTTTAAAAGCAGATGAGTGGCTGGGGCTATAGCTCAGTGGCAGAGCGCTTGCCCAGCACATGTGAAGCACTGGGTTTGATTCTCAGCAGAAACACATAAAAATAAATAAATGAAGTATTTTTTTTAAAAAAAGCAGAAATAGGAAGTAAAACAAACAAAAAAATGAGTATGATTATTTGGCTGAATATTTTATGTTAATCTCAAAATACATTTTGAATAGTAGTGGAAAGGAGAAGGACGTAAATATTCTTCTGACAAAAATATTAGAAAAAGTTTCAAGATGTTTTACTATGGGTCAAAGAATTAGCATCAAAATAGTATTTATTTTATATTAGAGTATGCTAGATACTCTACATATGAGATTCTGCTTTTTATTTATCTTTGGTGATTCAATATAAAAATATGATGATTAGTTTTTCTAAAATATAATTTAAAAACCTCAAAAAACTTATCTCCTTATATTAATGATTAAGGCATTACATATAACTGATTAGGAAAGAGTTCATAGATATAGTTTGATATCGTAGGTGAACTCCATATGTTTTGTGATCAGAGTAGTTTTAAGATAGAGATATTTATTATAAATGAGAATAAACAATAAACATAAGCTGACAATATAATTTAAAATTTTCTTGATTACCTTAACCAAGAATTATCATTAACAATGTGACTTAGAGTCAAATGTTTCCTTTGGACCTTATTTATGTGAAAATAAAAGAAAAATTATAATGAAAACCACATTTTAAGAGATTTTCAAAATGGAGTCACAAGGCCATCAAGGGTGAAGCACTTAAGCACTGGTTCAGCTGCTGCCTGGACTTTGAATGGTAATATCTCATTTTTCATCTCCAATTTTGTTGATTTAGGTCTTCTCTTTCTTTTGGTTACTTTTGTTAAGGGTTTATCAATCTTTTTTGTCTTTTCAAAGAACCAACTCTATTGTATGGATCTTTTGTATTTTTTTAAAATTTTCAATTTCATCTCTGATCTTAATTGTTTCCTATATTCTACTAATTGTGGAATTAGTTTGGTCTTCCTTTCCTACATAAATGCCAAGATATTTGGTCAAACATTTTTTTTCTGGATGTGTCTGTGAAGGTGTTTCTTACTGAGTTTAACATTTGAATTGGTGATTGGTTGTACAGCTTGGTGACTGTAGTGATAAAACTGTTTCTCATATGTCAAAATTGTGAAAAAGAGTGGATTTTAAATATCCTCACGATGAAGAAATGATAGGTATATGAGCTGATTTTAGATGTTAATTAGCAAGCCTTGATCATTGCAAAATATATACCAGTACCAAAACACCACATTGAATCCCTTAAATATACACAACCATTTGTTGTGTAGATTCAACTCGGCATGACTGTAGCCATCTTGAGTCGTGGATCGCCATGATTGCCCTTGCATAACCCTATATGTTTTTTCCTGCATAATTTCCCAGCAATCATAAACAGACAAAACTAGTGGGTGGTATGTGTTGCATCACAACTGGAACCCAGCTCCAGGGATGTACCTGAATTATCTTAAGATAAACCAGGTATGTTCCAGTCAGGACAAAGTCACATTCATCTTAATCCACAAATACACTTCTCTTCTCTTTCTGACTCAAATTGTGATCTTTTTGCTACCCAGGACCATACTGTGTCAGAAAGTTTCCCAATAAATTGTATTCTACAGTCTTACATCTGTCCTTTCTTTTTTTGTTCTTACAGTACTTGGGACTAGTCTTCATACACTATGACTGGGTTGTTCTGGAACACTGGATTGCTCATAAACATTCATTTAAATTTT